TCTTCTGGTAGAACATGCACATCTAATCTTAAATACATTTCCAAAGCACAATATATCATTTGCTTCAGTTATGAATGGGATATTTTTTCCATTATGTTTCAGTAAATATTATTATTAATATACATTTAGTATTTTTGTAAAATATGACAATGATGAATAAAAGCTTATCAAACCTGTGACTCACTTAGAAGGAATTGATGTCTCCATAAGACTTATCCCTTTGAGTTCAGCCAAGACGTTGTAATCTCCAGAAATGAGCACTTCACAGTGAATCCGCCCACTCATCCCCACACACAGTGCTGGTGCGGAGGGAGGAGGACCAGGACAGCCATGCAGCCCCTAAGCCTCTTCTACTCTTGCAAAATGGCAAAATGGTTAAAATGGCAAAAACCATTACTGGGGTTGACAGTTATTACCCTCCCTTGAATCTTCTTTCTTTGATCATCTCTCATCTGACTCCTCATTAATGTGAAGAAGTATCTAAGTACCACTCATGAAAATAAGATGCCATGAATAATCGTAAAAAAAAGAGTGAGTGGGCGAACTTGAAGACCAACCCACTATGGGACAGCTAGACATGATAAGCAAAAAACTATTAATAGCAACCAGATATTTTAAATACAGAACATATAAGAGAACATACAAGAGAGTAAGAAGGGCCTCCAAAAAGTGAAAATTGAAAATGAAGACAAGCTTCGTCTGAAATGTGGGTGTTTCATGTTGGAGTCCCATTAACAAAGGGGCTGGGATTTTAGGACCATGATTTCTTAGACAGAAGAGAACTGAACAGGATGTTGGAATTGAGATTCTTACCCAAATCCAGGATCGAAAACAAGGCTGCTCCTTCCCTGGGAAGGTGAACCCTATAGGAAAATATCTGACAACCACAAAGGGAAAATGAAGTGAAATTGGTGGGAAATTTTAAAAGACATCTGAAGTTTTGTCTCCACATGTCTTACATCTTCACATGCATGTAGAACTCAAAGTTACACTCCACTGTGGTTCAGAAAACCCCAATTCAAGAAATAAAGCCAAAAAATAAAAACGAAAAAAGGCAACGGGTACTTGGCAGAAATAAACACAAAACCTCCATCTTTAATACAGATTGCTTAGAATTCTGATAAATGAAGCATAATAATAATAATAATAATAATAATAACGGCTTCACGATTCAAAGCTACAAAATTCGGGAGAATGTAAACTACAATGAGACAGGTCCAGATAAGACCAACAAGAATTTCCTAACGTGATTTTATGATAAAGACTCTAAAACTAAGTAATTAAAAAAACGCAACATAAAATGATCAAAAACATGAGAAAAAATTAAGATCCTATAAAAAAGAGACCAAGCAGATTTGAAAAAGAAATGAACAGGATGTACCGGGTTGAAGGTTGTCCTCCCAAAATTCATGTCCATCCAGAACCTCAGAAGGTGACTTTAATTGTAAATAAGGTTTTTGCTCATATAATTAGTTACACTTAGGTCATAATGGATTAGGGTGGGCCGGTGTCCTTATAAGAAGGCCATGTGAAGACACAAAGAGGGAAGAAAGCTACGTGACAACGGAGGCAGAGATTGCAGAGAGCAGCTGCAAGCCAAGGAAGGCCAAGGACCGTCAGCAGCACCAGATGCTGGGAGGGAGGCCAGAAGGGATTCTCCTCAGAGCCTCCAGAAGCCACCCACCTGCTGACACCTGGAGTTTGGACTTCCAGACTCCACAACAGTGAGAGAATCAATGTCTGTTCTTTTAAGTCACCAAGTTCGTGGTAATTTGTTACAGCAGCACTGGGAAACTAACACAGAGAACTTAGAAGCTTTTATACCTATATCTATATAGACAGATTAGAATTGATTAAGCTCCAGTTTAAACAGCAGAAGAGAAATTAGTGAACTGGAAGCCATACATGTGTAAAAACCCCCAAACTCTTTTTCTTTTTGAGGGAGATTAGCCCTGAGCTAACATCTGCCAGTCCTCCTCTTTTTGCTGAGGAAGACTGGCCCTGAGCTAACACTCGTGCCCATCTTCCTCTACTTTATATGTGGGACGCCTACCACAGCATGGTGTGCCAAGCGGTGCCATGTCCGCACCTGGGATCCGAACTGGCGAACCCCGGGCTGCTGAGAAGTGGAACGTGTGCACTTACCCGCTGCGCCACTGGGCCGGCCCCCAAAACCCCAAATTCTTTACAGGGAAATAAAGAGAAAGAAAATATGATAGTGAGATAAATAAAAGAATGAAGTGAGATGGTCTAACACACATCTAACAGAAAGACAGGGAGAAAACACGGGAGGAAACTGGGGAGAAGCAATATGCAAAGAGATCATGGATATCCCTCTGGTTTGCTCTACTCTCTCACCTCTTCCATGTCTTTTCTCAAATATCTCCTTCTCTATCTGACAGTCCTTGAGTACCCTATTTACAAGTATTTATTAGTAATGAGGGATGTAGACTGCTGTTTCTGTATAAATAAGTAGGAAACAAGAACAAGAACACTGTGGCTGGGGCCAAGAGTGGCCATCCCAAAACCACGTCGGGGGCGGGAAGCAAAGTCCCCCTTTCAGCTGGTTTTCTTGGAGCTAGTTATTTTGTAGGGCATGGGAGGGGCAGGTAAGATTACAAGGTGTTTGCTGGTTCTGGGTTGTTGATTCTGTTCAAGGTTAGTTCTGCTTGGGGATCATTAGGGTGAAATGTTGGTTAAGGCTTCGGAGAGCAGGTTGGGGTTAGGATTGCAAGAAATGGGTCGCTAAGAGCCCTGTGACCAGATTAGGCAAGGAGCTGCCTGGATGAAGGGAGGAGCTGATTAAGTTGTGGGAATGGGTTCGTTTTGAGAAGCAATGCTCTACCTAGTTTCCAAGAGGTGAGCGTGACCCAAAGGTCTGAGATAGTGAGACTACGGAGGAAAATCTTTAGTGCTCTTTCCTCTGCAGAGGGGATCCCCATGGTCCACCTCTCGATTCCTAAACACAGCAACTCAACTGCTGGAATCCGCTCATGAGGGGCCGCACATGTGGGAACGCATCATGCTGTGTTCTCCCAGTGACACCCATCACTGCAACTCAGAACAGAGGGATAGGTCTGAATAGCACTGTGCTCTGAAATGTTCCAGAAGCGAGAGATTATGAAATATCTTTACTCACCTTCCTGTTCAGCCTGGATTAGTAAGAGGGAGGGCCAAAACCGAAGGGAAGAAAAGGACTTTTTTTTTTAAGAGATGCACTTTTTTTTCATCAGATGCAACAGAAACTAAAGAAAAAGGCATGTTTGAAACTGAGAAGAATCAGCCAGCAGGGATTGTGATTGCACTGGTTTCTGATTATACAAATTAACAGGCTGTCAAATGCAGCTTTGCCCCAGTTTGGCTGAGGCCCTAGGGCAATAGAGAGAAACCCCTCCACATCCAGAGGAAGGAGCTAGGCTGATTCCACACAGTGTGAAAACACCAGTTTTGCCCAATTAAGTATCTGCCATATCCAGGTAGTCAGAGGGAAAAGTCCCCAGGAGGTTGGAGAACCATCCTTAGTGTGCCCTGGGTCCAGCCTGACTTGGGGGACAATGGGGATCCCTTCAGCTTAGACTTAGTGGGAGGGGGTTTAAGCCCCCTGGAGGGTTTTCCTGGGTGTTACCTGGGGCATGACAAGAGTGCCCACTTGTGGCCACCTCAGAACCTCCCACTGGACGCCCTGGAGAGGTGAAGTGGCCTCAGTGGGAGGGGCTGGAGGACATGCCCCTGTTGTCAGACGTTCCTCCCAGTACCCTTGAAGAATCCCATAAGGTGTTGCTCAGGTGAGTGGACCACCCACTTGCTTCCAGCCCAACTCACTCTGCTCTAGGCTCCTGCTTCTCCTTAGGGTCCCAGGTCAGCCCTTTCCCCTGCCTAGCTTGGCACTGGCCTCCCTTGCTGAGGATGCTCTTAGCTTGTTCAAGGGTACCAGCTGCCTCCCACTCAGCTCACCTCTCATCTCACCTGTACCCAACCCCACTGCTCAGCCCAGCCCTGAGGTAAAGTCAGGGGTCATGGTGCAAGGTTCCAGAAGAGATGCAGAAGGCCCCTCTCCTCCTTGACCGGCTGGCAGTCATTTTTTCCCCCAGTTTTATTGAGATATAATTGGCATTTAACGTTGTATTAGTTTAAGATACACAACATAATGATCTGATGTATGTGTGTATTGTGAAACGACACCACAGTAAGTCTAGTTAACATCCATCACTACTCATAGTTACCTATTTTTTTTTCTTGAGATGACAATGTTTAAGCTCTATTCTCTTAGCAACTTTCAAATATGCAATACAGTATTACTAACTATAGTCATTATGCTGTAGATGAGATCCCCAGGACCTATTTATTTTGTAACTGGAGGTTTGTACCTTTGACCCCCTTCACCCACTGTGCCCACCTCTCAACCCCGCCTCTGGCAACCACCAATCTGTTCTCTGTAGCTATGAGTGTAGTTTTTTAGATTCCACCTACAAGAGAGATCACAGAGTATTTGTCTTTTTCTGTCTGGCTTATTTCACTTAGCATAATGCCCTCAAGGTCCATCCATGTTGTTGCAAATGGCATAATTTCCTTCTTTTCTATGTCTGAATAATATTCCATTTCAAATATATCACATTTTCTTTATCCACTCATCTGTCAATGGACACTTAGATTGTTTCTATACCTGCCTATTGTGAATAAAGCTGCAATGAACATGGAAGTGCAAATAGTTCTTTGAGATACCATTTTCATTTGCTTGGTTTATATACCCAGAAGTGGAATTGTTGGATCATACGATAGTTCCATTTTAAATTTTTTGAGGAACCTCACTCACCATAGTGACTGCAGCAATTTACATTCCCACAGTGCACAAGGGTTCCTTTTCTCCACATCCTTGCCAACACTTGTTATTTCTGGTCTTTCTGACAATACCCATTCTAACACATATGAGGCAATGTCTCTGTGGTTTTGATTGGCATTCCCCTGATGATTAATGATGTTGAGCTTCTTTTCATGTACCTGTGGGCCATCTGTATGTCTTCTTTGCAAAAATATCTATTCAGATCCTCTGCCCATTTTTAAATCAGATTGTTTTTTGGCTACTATTAGCTATCATTTCTTTATGACCTAAACTGAGCTGAATGTGTCAACTTTTCTGGATTTCTATGGTAATATATGTCTTCTCTTTATTATATAAAGGTGTATATTTGGTCAAATGTGTTGTTCAAATTCTCAGTAGTCTTATTTTTTTATCCTCTTGATTTGCACGTCTCTGAAAGAAATGAGTTAAATCTTTTACTATAATTACGAAATTATAAAATTTTCTTATATTGTAAACAGTTTCTCACACATGTTCAGCTCAACGTCATTTCTGATATAGGAGAACTCCGGAGACATGTCGCTCCTCAAGGGTTCAGCTGAGGGTGGCTGGCACATGCACATGAAGGGAAAAGCCAACTAAAGGATCAGAGGGAACGGTGCCCGGCACTCCTGCAGACTGCCTCCTGCCACTAGCCAGAATGGAAAGTGTCATGGTTCGTGCGCCAATGGGGAGACATTCAGAAGTGTCTAGCCTCAGTAGAATAATTAGTCTAGATTTAGGACTGCTTTAGTCTCACCTAACATCCTAAAAGCAATACCTGAAAGGATCAAACTTTCCAAACCATTCAACCACATCCCAGCTATAATCAAGTGAGAAATGTGTGCAGTCCAGTATCAGAATCCCAGTCATTTCATGCATAATCTTAGTTAATTTGATGCCACTCCATGAGGTAAAAACATAAATGTCATCACTCCCCTTGACTTCTGAAGATCAGTATGTATTTTTGTTAACCTGCCAATATTTGAGAATGTCTCAACCCAAAGAGAAGACAAACACATGTGCAGATGCACATGTACACACATGGCCAAAAGATATAAAAAGACACTCAGGCCCAGAAGTGGTCTCGGCATTCTATATTTTGATTTCAGAAATATTTGGCATACAGTGAACCCTAATCTGTAGGAATGGTGAGTGCATATATTTTTGTTTTCCAGTTACTCTCATTTTGGTCAAGGCTATTTTGTTTTTGCATTTTCCATCACTGCTTTCTTTTGGCAACTGGCCATAACCCATGTTCTCTCATTTCCTTCCTCATTATCCTAAGACAAATATTCCCCTCTTAACTGATACTGGGTATGTTAGGCCGCAAGCCCAGCTGGGCTAAGGTGGCAGGATATCGCACCGAGAGACCAAAGAAATGACCCGGAGACTGTGAACGAGACATATAGGTTTACTGGGTCCTACTTACAGGAGTGTCCAGTGGCAGCTGGCTGGACAGAAGTGTGCACCTGCAACCGCCCCCTAAGAGAAGTTTGCTTAAGTAAGCAGAGAAACAAAGGCTGCATGCTTGCCATAGGGCTGTCCTTGGTACGACCAGTGTTCCCAGGAACAGTAGCTCACGTGGAGGGGCTCTGTCTTCCTGTAAGACTCGATGTTCTTCTCGTGGGATAAGGGGGGATCCAGGCTGGCCAGGCCCAGATCGTTACAAATCCCAGCAGCTGGGCTCCCTGCCCAGCAGGAAGCCAGAAGGACACATGGTTGCAATGGGCCTGGGGGCTTTTGCTGAGCAAGCAAGGCCCAGGCCCTACAGGGTAGCATTAGAATCTTGCATTTCTCCAATTCTCATATATTGCCTACAATGCTTCTTGGAATAAGACAAAGTTAAACATAAATAGAAAAAATAAAAGGAGATACAGACTGTGGTAATGATGAATGAAGTCCACAGAGGTGGGTTGTTTTTTTCTCACTTCTGTAGAGATGAGAACTTTATCCTTTTTATTCTCTACTTGTCAGCTTTCCAGTGTCAGAGATTTCCAAAACCCTTTGGTTTATGAGTCTGATTTACAGGGGTTTACTGATTGACAAAAAACCTGCAGGACAATAAAAAGCAGAACAAGAACATGCCCTAAATTTCCAACGTAACTAAGAAGTGTACCCTAAATGATTAGCGTTTCTCCATATACGTTACACTACTTTGTGTAATTTGTGATATTCACAATGAAGGGACATGGCTATATGTTCTCTTTCATTGTTCATTTATTGGCAAATTTAGGGACAGTACCCACTGCTGACTAACCCTGTTTGCAGGTATGTCCGCCTAGGTCACCTTGATGAGTTCCAGACACTGCGGCTGGAGGAGAGTTGCACCATCACTGATGAGAATGATCAGGTCACTGGATACAAAACAAAGAGGAACTGCCACCTGATTGAAAAATTGAAAAGGGTAAGGCGGAAAGAGGTTCTTGTCTGTGTTCAGGATCTGTCACATCGGCTATTCCCAAACTTGCCAAGTGCACCGAGGAAGCATGTGAGAAAATGTCACTGAGCAGCAGACAGTTTACGTGTGTGGTGCTTCTCCCTTCATACAGCTTTGAAGAAAAGTCAGGACCATTATACCCTGACTGTGAGCTCTGTCCGTGTCAAGGGTCACCACAAGGCCAGAGCCTGAGAGGTCACTTGGCCCCACCAGGTTCTCCCTCTGCCCACCTGGTCAGCCTGTCACCGCAACAACTGTGGGTCCTGAGGACCAGGTTTACACTTGGTTGGTTGGGTCCAAATCCTAGACCTGTGTTCCTGGTATGGATGCTCAGTTCTTTACCCTCCAGTTTCCTTTTTTATAAATAGGGGAAATAATAGTGCTGCCCTCAAAGTGAGGCCATGAGTACCAGATGAACAGACAAAGCGTATAGCACCTGGAGTATAATGCAACGAAGCCAAGGTGAGATGCTGCTGCTGTTCAAGTCCTGAGCTGAGTGAGAGGATGCGACGGGGCAGAGGGGACCGCTTCCATAGACTTCACATGCACAGCGGCTGTGTTTTAACCAACACACACCCACTCTGTAGGGCTGTTACACTGACGCTTCAGTGTCATCCTGTTCAACCAGCAAGACCAGCTCCTCATACAGCAGAGATCTGACTACGTACATGTTTCCCGGTGAAGCTTGTCAGATGAAACCTAAAAGCCTGCTGACTTCTGACCTGTCCTGTGGGAGCACACGGAGGGTTGACTAGTCAGCAAACCCACCCAAAGCTCTCTCAGGAAATCTCAGTCCCACTCCAACAGACAATGGAAGGACACCACATTACCAGCATTGACAAACTGGAATTTTTTCAGGGAAGTGAAGAGACCCATTTGTCTCAGAAATGCAAATTTGGGGGCAGTGAAAAGATTTTGTAGTTCAAAGGAATTGAGACTTTAATGTGAATAATATTTGACCAAGATTTGAAAAGTTGAATTGATAATAAGGTGATAATTCAGAATTAAATCTATTTTATCCACTAAATGGGGATTAGGAAGGGAATTATCCTGTTTAGTTAAAAAAATTTCCAATAAAGTAGGCACTTTATCCATGCTTTCCAGGGTATTTCATTGGCTCCTGCTCTGGTCACTCCCTAAGCAATCCCGAAGATTGCTCTGGAAGAAAAAGACGCCTTGGGAGTGAGTAGGGCAGCCGTGAGACATCTGCAGGCTGGGCCGGGAATCCCTATGGAACAGGTACCCTGCATCTTGTCTTCTAAATCTTTCTACACAACTGTGTTAGTTACTCAAATTCTTACCTCCAATCAAAACTCCAGGAAAGAAAATAAACTTTGGGTGCAAATTTAGAAAATTGTGTGTGGATTTCTATGATGCATTCTCTGTTTTTACAACATGAGGATAGGTGAAAGCGAAGAATCTGAACATTGGTTGTTACTTAATAAGTGATGCTGAGTTAGATAAGAATCAGAGGTAGAGCCTTCTCATGAAACCTATGAAAACCCGATTCACAATCTATGAACACAGAAATCCCTTACATGGTATTTACAGATAAAATACGACTTTTGTTTATGAAATCAGGGTGTATGTGCCCCACAGAAATACGCTTATCAGTTACTTATAGCACTTTTCATATTTCAATTGTGTCCATATAATTATCCCATTGGGTGCACAACAAAATGAATTTTCAAGGCTATAAAACTGTGCTTTCTTTAATTTGGTCTCCCCAGTGAAAAATGAGTGAGTGGCACTCAGTGGATGCACTGTATATATTTTTTTAATGAAAAAAAGAATGAATTTGAATTCTCTCTCCAACGTATTTTCCTTGTGTTTGAATTAACACAGATCAACTTTTGTCACAGCTTTCCATAAAGGATATAATTTTTATGACCCGAATTTACCACAAGAGTCCATTGAATAATGTCTGGCGGGACCATAAAATTGGCTATCTTCTGTTTGTGAGGAAAAACCTCATGGTGAACCTAGACCCCAGGGGGGTCCAACATTACTGCTACATGACCTGGGAGGAGATGGGGGTCCTCCTGGACAGGGCAGCCTAGGAACAGGAGGAGGTCACCCCGTGGATTAAGACCATCACAAAGGGCTTTCTGTTCAAGTGGTGGGGTCATTTACTGGACGTCTCCCCATTTGTGGAGCCTGACAAAATTCACAAGCGAGAAGCTGTGGGAGGGGACTGTCCGAAGTAAGGGGTCACCCAACCCCATGATCTCAGCTCCTATTTCAGATTAAAACAGCACACATGCTGATGAAGGTGCACTACAGAAATCTAGTCATAAAATTTCTTTAATCACTTAGATTTAGCTTAAGAATCTCCTTCACAATTATACTCGAGAGCTCCCTTGTTTTCATCCATCTCTTAAAATGCTTCAGCTGCTTTCTATAGAAAACGTCATTTTTGTCCTAAAACTTTCCCTCTAGTGGCTTCACCATTCCCCATTAGCTGGGTGCAGACACGAGCTCACACAGGTACGGCAGCTCTTCACGTCGCCTCTCTACTGGGTCCTTGATCACGTGTCCTTGGAGAATTTCATCCTTTAGGAAGATATGTTGCATGATGATGACATATAAGAAAAAAAATTAAATGTCTGTTAGTATTAACTGAGGAAATTAATCTCATCAAAATACTGACTTAGACTAGAAATAAATGCTTGCTAGCATATAAACATATAATCATTTTAAAAATAAAATTGTTTAATTTCCTTAAAGAGGTGAATCTTTTTATTGAAATGTTATCATAGTTACATATTAACCTGTTTTTACTGCCCATTTCACAAGATCTATACTCATAATCTTCATTATCAAAAATGTATTAAAATGCAAAAACTTGAATAATAAGAAATCTTGAAAAAGAGGTATTGTAATTCACTGATTTTCTAAGTAAATCCTAATGAGGAAACCACTTTTACTAAGTGCTTGTTAAATTCTTTGCCATGTATAAATATATTTGATCATTTTCCTGAAAATCAATAAAAATCAGATGGAAATTGCTTACTCCTTCTTTGAGGATTCCCTGGTCTTTGGTCTTGGGGTCATCATTCATGAAACGAATCCACAGGGTAGAGTTTCAAGATGGAGTTGACCGGGTTGAGTGGATGAATTCCAGCACTGGAATTTCAGGATCTCTTCTTCTCTGTTCTTTCCCTTGTTCTGCTGTAGTGTCTGGGCAAAAAAACTTTATCCTGCTGGAATTCACCGGAAGAACCTAGAAGTGTTTACTGGCCCATCATTTCTAATATTTCCACGCTGATCCCAAACCTTAGTTTTTATACCAACAACCTCCCTACACATCTGTTGAGAAGTACCAATTTAACATGTCTTTCACCCTTGTGGGGAAAAGCTCTTTTTCAAAGGGACATTAATAATGTTTAGAGTTTCAAAGACCATGGTTAGTACGTTTTAGCTTCCAGCACTGTGCACAAAGCTATTTCACACTGGTAGAAACGGGGTCAACTTTGGATCATTTTACTTACTGACATGACCACAAATGGAAGGAAACTAGAGAAGCATAATGGCATGCAAAAAAAAAAAAAAAAAATAGAGTTTCTGGTTGTGAATGGCTTCCTCTCACACTAAACTTTAGAAATGACAGAACAGACAGTACAAATAAAATCAAATACATCAGCATTCTTGCAAATGAAAGGAATTCTCAGAGAAAAGCAAAAGAATGAAGGAGAGGCATCTTTGTAAAATATAGCTGGTACTTTTCCAACAATAAAGACATTCTGAAATTGGAAGAGCCACCTAGTATCCAGCAGGAGGAGGAGGAAAAAACCTGAAGAAATTTACAACGAAATTTCAGAACCTCAATTAGAAAAGACAAAATCCTAAGAGGATTAAAAAACAGAAAGATATAAAAACACACCTATGTATATGTCTATAATATGTACCTATATACTTTATGTAGCTATAAAATATAAGAAAATAAATATAACAATATAAACATGAGAATATAAATATAAGATACTATAACACAGCACTTCTGTGGTCCTCCACTTCCCCTGCCCAAGAAATGTATAACTTATAGTAAGGGAAAATTAGACAAATTCAAATCAAGGAGCAGCTACAAAATACCTGGCTTGTACCTTTCAAAAATGTCAATATCATGAAAAGCAAAGAAAAACTGAGGAAAGTTACAGACCGAAGGAGACCAAGCATCATGACAGCTGACTGCAACACATCATCTACTGCTTCTTTTGCTCTAATGGACATTGTTGGATAATTTGTAAAATCTGAATAACTTCTGTAGATTAGACAATAGTACTTCATCAACGTTAATTTCCTGATTCCAATAAGTTCCGTCTGGTTATGGAAGAAAATGTATTTAGTTTTAGAAAATACACACTGAAGTATTTAGGGATGGGGGCCATCGTGCCTGCAACTCTCTCAACGGTTCAGGAAAAAGACGTAAACACACGGTGTGTTTTAAATTATGAGTACACACAGATCTAAGCTAACAGATATGAAGAGCACTATAAAACACTCTTTCAGAGAAAACACGCTGAATAACACTGAGTCTAGAGGAAGCAGAAAACCTGTAACATTGGCATTATAAGCTTTATATCCAGGAGAGACACTGAGGTGAGGTTTATACCCAGGAAAGACACTGAAGGGCATGTTGACATAGCTGTCACTCTGAAAGTGCAGCATGTGGGCAACAAGGCTTCTAGAAAGAACACTGGAAATCTGGAAAAGGGAACAGAGAGGTACAGGAATGAAGGCAAAGGCAAATGATTAGAAGCACTACCTCTGGGGGCCGTTTTCAAAAACTCCCTCTAGTGGAAGGAATTGGCAGTCAGGTCTGAGCACTGCAAGGCTCACAGAGGAGCACAGTGGCCACCAGGACTTGGCCCAACAGCTCTGGTGGAAGGACCGAAGGTCTTACCTGCAGCTCAATCACCTACCTGGGCCTAGCCCTGCCTGGCTGGCTTCACACTCTGGGAGCCTCCTTCTGCCTGGGTAGCACCGGCTCCTTTCCCAGGTCCTGTACACAGCTCCATGGCGACTGCAGGCTCAACGCGGAGAAGGTCCAACACGCTCACTCCTACTTAAAACGGGCGTCCTAAACCCTCAGGAGACTCTCCTTGTTAATGGTGCCTTCCTTTGTTTAATTTTCTCTGTCTGCTCCTAGAAACCTGAAATTATCTTTTGTTTTGTTTTCCTTCTCTCCCTTGTTCCAATCTCTCACTCTGATCTCTCCCAAGATGTAAGGGAAAAAAAATTAAAGAATCTTATTAATTCACTCAACAACTTACACATAACTTAAAATATACCCTGAAAACTATTTCTCTGGCTAATGTTCTCCCAGTAGAACACCTCTTGGAGTCTGCATATCTTTTTTTTTAATGTGGTAAAATACACATACCATAAAATCTACCATTTTAAGTATACATTCAGTGGCATTAAGAACATTCATCTTGTTGTGCAAACCTGACCATTATCCATATCCAGAACTGTTCCATCATCCGAAACTGAACTCTGTACGCATTAAACAATAACTTTCCAATTCCTCCTTACCCTAGTCCCTGGTAACCATTGTTTTACTTTCTGTCTCTACGAATTTGACTGTTCTAGGGACCTCATAAAGGGGGATCATGCAATAGTTGTCCTTTTGTGCCTGGCTTACTCCACTTAGCATAATGTCTTCCAAGTTTATCCATGTTTTAGCATGTGTCAAAAGTTAATTCTTTTTAAGGGTAAATAATATTTGATTGTATGTATGTACCATTGTGTGTATCCATTCATCTATCAATGGACATTCGGTTGTTTCCACCTTTTGGCTATTGTGAATATATGCTGCTATGGCTATATATCTGTTCAAGTTTCTGCTTTAAATTCTTTTGTATATATATTGAGAAGTGGAAGTACCAGATCCTATGATAATTGTTTAATTTTTTGAGGAACTGTCTTACTGTCTTTCACAGTGGCTGCACCACTTTATATTCCCATCAGCAATGAACAACAGTTCCAATTTCTCCATCCTCACCAACATCTGCTTTTTTTCCTAAATAATACTCATATTAATGGATGTGAGGTGGTATCTCACTATGGTTTTCATTTGCATTTCCCTAGTGACTAGGTGATATTGAGCATCTTTCCATTTATTTATTGGCTATTTGTATGTCTCTTTGGAGAAATAACTATATATAAGTCCTTTGCCCATTTTTGAATTGGGTTGCTTGGTTTTTACTGTTGAGTTTTAGGAATTCTTTATGTATTCTGGATACAAATCCCTTAGCAGATATGTGATTTGCAAATATATTCTCCCATTCTGTGGGTTGCCTTTTTACTCTGTTGATGGTGTCTTTAGGTGTAAAAGTTTTAAATTTTGATAAAGTTCAATTTTTCAAATTTTCTTTTATTGCCTGGGCTTTTGGTCTCATACCCAAGAAATCATTGCTAAATCCAACGTCCTGAAGATTTTCTTCTATGTTTTCTTCTAGGAATTTTATAGTTTTAGCTCTTATGTTTAGGTCTGATCCATTTTGAGTTAATTTTAATATATGGTGTAAGAAAGGGTTCCAATTTCATTCTTTTCCATGTGGATACCCAGTTTCCCCAAAACCATCTCTTGTCCTTTCTCCAAATGTCCTTTCTCCATTGAATGGTCTTGGGATCCTTCTTGAAAGTAATTTGGCCATATATGTGACGGTTTATCTGGGTCTCTATCCTATTCCATCGGTATATGTAATTGTCTCTAAGGCAGTAAGTAGCACACTCCTTGATCCCTGTAGCATGGCACTACGTTTTGAAGTCAGGAAGTGTTAAGTCCTCCAGTTTCATTCTTCTTTTCCAAGATTACTTTACCTATTTGGGTCCCTTAAGATTCCATAGAATTTTAGTATGGATTTTTTCTTTTTTTAAGATTTTATTTTTTCCTTTTTCTCCCAAAGCCCCCTCGGGTACATAGTTGTGTATTTTAATTGTGTGTCCTTCTAGTTGTGGCATGTGGGACGCTGCCTCAGCGTGGCTTGATGAGCAGTGCCATGTCTGCACCCAGGATTTGAACCGGCAAAACCCTGGGCTGCCGAAGCAGAGCGTGCAACTTAACCACTCGGCCATGGGGCCAGCCCTCTAGGATGGATTTTCTTATTTCTACAAAAAACATCATTGGCATTTTAATGTGGGATGCATTGAATCTATAGACTACTTTGGGTGGTACTGGCATCTTAACAGTATTGAATCTTTCCATGCTTGAACACAGGATGTCTTTACATTTATTTGTCTTTAAATTTATTTCAGCAATGTCTTGTAGTTTTCAATGTACAAGTGTTTTCCTTCCTTGGTTAATTGCTAAATATTTTATTCTTTTAGATCCTATTTTAAGTGGAATTATTTTCTTAATTTGCTTTTTGGACTGTTCATTGTTAGTGCATAGAAATGTAATTGAAACTGATTTTTGTGTCTTGATTTTGTATTCTTCAACTTTGCTGAGTTCATTTATTCTTGTTTTTTTCTTTTTGGTATAAAATATTTAGAGTTCTCCAAAGGTAATTTTACTTTGTCCTTCTCAATTTGTCTATCTTTTATTTCCCTTCCTTGTCTAACTGCTCTAGCTAAGCCTTCCAGAACTACGTTAAATAGAAGTGGCAAGAGTGGGCATGCTTGCCTTCCTCCTGCTCTTAAAAGGAAAAGCTTTCAGTCTTTCACCCTTGAGTATGATGTTTACTATAGGGTTTTCAAGTTGCCTTTACTGTGTTGTAGTTTCTTTCTAGTCCTAGTTTGAGTCCTGTTATCATAATTTGAGGTTGAATTTTGTCAAATGCTTTTTCTGCATTGATTAAGATAAACATGAGGTTTTCATCCTTCATTCTGTAAATGTGATGCATTACATTGATTGATTTTTGTATGTTGACTCATCATTGCCTTACAGGAATCTGTCATGGTGAATAATCCTTTTAATATGCTGCTGAATTCTGTTGGCTAGTATTTTGTTGAGGATTTCTGCATTAATATTTATAAGGGATATTGGCTTGTAGGTTTTTTTTCTTGTAGTGTCATTGTATGGCTTTGATTTGAGGGCAATGCTGGCCTCACAGAGTAAGTTATGAAGTGTACCCTCTCTTCATTTTTTTTGGGAAGTTTGAGATGGTTGGTGTTAGTTGTTCGTTAAATGTTTGGCAGAATTCACCAGTGAAGCCACCTGGTCCAGGGCTTTTCTTTGTTGGGAGGTTTTTTTTTTAAATTGTGGAAAAAATACATAACATTAAATTTACCATCTTAACCATTTTTAAGTGTCCAATTAAGTGGTATTAAGTATATTCACATTGCTGTTGAAGAGATCTCTAGAACTTTTTCATCTTGTAAAACTGAAACTCTATACTATTAAACACTTTCTCCCTCTCCCCAGCCCTTGGAAACTACCTTAAAACTTTCTGTCTCTATGATTTTGACTACTTTAAATACTTCAAAGTGGAATCACATAGCATTTGTCCTTATGTGACTGCCTTATTTCACTCAGCTTGTCCTTAACGTTCAATCACTTTGCAGCATGTAACAGAATTTCCTTTTTTAAGGCTGGATATTATTCCAATGTACGCATTTACTACATTTTCTTTATTCATTCCTCCATCCATAGACATTGCTTCTACCTTGTGGTTATTGTGAATAATTGTGCAATGAACATGAAGGTACAGACACCTCTTCAAGATCCCACCTTGAATTCTTTTAGATATATACCTGGAAGTAGTAGTGCTGAATCATGTAGTAATTCTATTTTTAAAGTTTTGAGGAACGTCTATACTATTTTCTACAGTGGCTGCACCATTTTACATTCCCACCAACAGTGCCAAAGGATTCCAATTTCTCCCCATCCTCACTAACACTTTTCTGTTTTTTTTTTTTAACTGAGGTCGTAATAGTTTATAACATTGAGAAATTTCAGTTGTACTTTGTCAGTCACCATACATATGTGCCCCTTTACCCTTATACCCACCCCCCAACCCCCTTCCCCTCTGGTAACAACTAATCTGTTCTCTTTGTCCATTTGTTTATCTTCCACACATGAGTGAAATCATGTGGTATTTATCTTCCTCTGTGTGGCTTATTTTGCTTAACATAATACCCTCAAGGTCCATCCATGTTGTTACAAATGGGATGATTCTGTCTTTTTTATGGCTGAGTAGCATTCCATTGTGTGTGTGTGTGTGTGTGTGTTTGTACACACCACATCTTCTTCATCCATTCATCAGTTGATGGGCAGTTCGGTTGCTTCCACATATTGGCTATTGTGAATAGTGTCACAATGAACATAGGGGTGCATAAGTCTCTTTGAATTGTTGATTTCAAGTTCTTTAGATAAATACCCAGTAGTGGGATACCTGGACCATATAGCATTTCTATTTTTAACTTTTTGAGAAATCTCCATACTGTTTTTCATAGTGGCTGCACCTGTTTGCATTCCCACCAGTAGGGTATGAGGGTTCTCTTTTCTCCACATCCTCTCCAATATATATTTTTTTATCTTGGTAATTATAGCCATTCTAATGGGTGTAAGGTCATATCTCATTGTAGTTTTGATTTGCATTTCCCTAACAATTAGTGATGTTGAATATGTTCCCACGTGCCTATTGGCCATTTGTATATCTTCTTTGGAAAAATGTGTGTTCGTATTCTCTGCCCATTTTTTTAATCAGGTTTTTTTGTTGTTGAGTTATGTGTGATCTTTATCTATTTTGGAAAACTCCTTGTTGGACATATGATTTGCCAATATTTTCTCCCAGTTGGTGGGTTGTCTTTTCATTTTGTTCCTGGTTTCCTTTGCCTTACAGAAGCTCTTTAGTCTGATGAAGTCCCACTTGTTTGTTTTTTCTTTTGTTTCCCTTGCCCAAGTGGACATGGTATTCAAAAAGATGTGGCTAAGACCAATGTCAGAGTGTACTATTGGGCCAGCCTGGTGGTGCAGTGGTTAAGTTTGCACGTTCCACTTCAGCAGCCCGGGGTTCACCGATTTGGATCCCAAGTGTGGACATGGCACCGCTTGGCAAGCCACGCTGTGGTAGGCGACCCACATATAAACTGGAGGAAGATGGGTACAGATGTTAGCTCAGGGCCAGTCTTACTCAGCAAAAAGAGGAGGATTGGCAGCTCAAAAGGAGCTCAAAAGGAGATGTTAGCTCAAGGTCTGATCTTCCTCAAAAAAAAAAAAAAACCCAGTGTACTGCCTATATTTTTTTGTAGGAGTTTTACGGTTTCATGTCTTACCCTCAAGTCTTTGATCCATTTTGAGTAAATTTTTGTGTATGGTGTAAGGTAATGGTCTACTTTCATTCTTTTGCATACGGCTGTCCAGTTTTCCCAACACCATTTATTGGACAGACTTTCCTTTCTCCATTGTGTGTTCTTGGCTCCTTTGTCGAAGATTAGCTGCCCACAGATGTGTGGTTTATTACTGGGCTTTCAATTCTGTTGCATTGATCTGTGTGCCTTTGTACCATGCTGTTTTCATTACTATCGCTTTCTAGCATATTTTGAAGCCAGGGACTGTGATGCCTCCAGCTTTGTTCTTTTTTCTCAGGATTGCTTTAGTGATTTGGGTCTTTTGTTGTTAATTTTAGGATTCCTTGTTCTATTTCCATGAAGAATGTCACTGGGGTTCTGATTGGGATTGTCTCGAACCTGTAGACTACTTTAGGTAGTAGGGACAATTTAACTATGTTTATTCTTCCATTTCTTTATGTCATTGATTTCTTTCAACAATGTTTTATAATTTTCATTGTATACATCTTTCACCTCCTTGGTTAAATTTATTCCTAGATACTTTATTCTTTTTGCTGCGAAGGTAAATAGGATTATATTCTTGAGTTTTCTTTCTGTTAGTGCATTATTAGAGTACAGAAATACAACTGATTTTTGTAAGTTGATTTTGTACCCTGCCACTTTGCTGTAGTTGTTATTTTTAATAGTTTTCTGACGGATTCTTTAGGGTTTTCTATATATAGAATCATGTCATGTACAAACAGCGAGAGTTTCACTTCTTCC